ACAAACATAATCATCATGTTGTATCCACGCAAGAGCATACAGATCCGGATGTGGCTCACTTAACAACCCCAATTTCGTCACTGCCTCGGTCGAAATCACATTCTCACAGGAGTCGGAATCAATGACAAAACGGCACACTCGGTCGTCAATGGTGCATGTAGATTCATAAAGGTGGTGTCGTTGGACCTTATCCTCAGAAGATATGTGAGGAGACAAAAGAGACCGACGAATGACAAGTGGCGTAACCCATATCTCCCGAGACATGTACCTCTGGAACTTCCGACTCTTTATAAAAAATTGGACGACCGTCGTAAACAGTCGAGTCTGGCTCCTCAACAATCAACGCCCGTGAACCTCTCGCCTTCGGGCACTGAGCCTGGCGATGTCCCGGCTCACCACAAGTGAAACAGCGCGGGCCACTAGACTGCATATTACCACTCCCCATCGTGGGGCCAACCACACGGCCATTAGAAGGAGCACCCAAATCGAACTGAGTCGTCGGAGATGGCGCGGTACCCAAAATCCCGATAGGCTCTTTTGCAGATGGCGCAAAAGAAGTGCCTACCTTCCGGGCCTGCTGCTGCTCAACTAATAAAGCCCGCTGATGAGCCTCAGAAACGGTAACCGGAGTAAACATATTCAACGCATCCTGAATAGAGACACGCAATCCCCCAATATAACGAGAAATCAATTGTTCATGAGTTTCACGAATATCAACCCGGGCCAGGAGTATATAAAATTCCTCAGTATAGTCATCCACACTACGTTGTCCTTGACGAAGATTTTGCAAAAGCTGATATAAAGTACGGATAAAATTAAACGGTAAAAATTCCCGTTCAAGGTACTTACGAAATTTTATCCACGAAGTGATTTTTGGTTTGCCCTGACGATGCCGCACGCCTTTCAGTTGTAGCCACCAAGCAGCCGCACGACCCCGTAGTCGGGTAACAACAAGCACCACACGACGGTCATCCGAGACGGCCTTATAATCGAGAGCGGATTCAACAGCAGCTAACCAATCAAGAAATTCGACCGCATCCACTTCCCCAGCAAATTCCTGTAATTCAACACGAAAAGTCGATTCCCATCGGGTATCACCAAGTGCATCAACCCCATATCGACGGAATCGGGCCCCACCAAAATCAGGCGTTGGATCATTAAAAGCAGCCGCTGGACCATTAAAACCAGCCACATAATTGCCTCTTTGGACCTGCCCACCAAAATCATGAATATGCTCGGCCCACAAAGTATGAGGCCCATAATCTGTAGGTAAAAACTCCCCAAATCTGCGATGTACATTCTGTGGACGCCAGAATTCATCGAAACGATGGCCATGGTGAAAAAAATCACCGTCAAAATTGCCGTCGGAGTCCACAGGCTGACGACGCCTTGCATCCCGCCGTGGAGGATGGAGATCCTCGTCAACCTCAGCACGCTGGAAAGCATAGCCACGACGGACATCACGATCTCCAGTCGTACATCGCGCCGCCTCTGGTGGCTGATTTGGAAAGTCGGCGTCTTGAAATTCCCCCGCTGCACGATGTGTGGGCGACTGAGGATGATGAAAACCCTCATCCCGTCGCTGCTGGTCGCGATTTGGGAAATCACCATCACGTCGGCCGATGTTGTCTGCTCGTGGAGGAGGCGACCTTGGCAAATGGAAACCCTCAGCCCGCCGACGCGGTTGACGACGACCAGGTGCTCCATCCGCTGCGACATCCTCGGCAAAAGGGTTGATGTCGGACAAAGTATCTTCACTGTCCAAGTCAACGAAGTCTGGTCGTAAAGGTGGTTGTCGGAGCGCATCACCGTGACTGCCACGGCCGCCTCGTTGTCCCGCACAACCGCCTCTTCTGCCCGCAACCTCCCTATATGCTTGCTGGTCCCTCATCATGGTCGTAAGAGTGGTACGTATGTCGTCCATCCCTGTAGCGAGATCGGTAACCCGAGTGTCCATCAAATGGACCGATCGTCCAGACGTTGAAGGCGATCATCAATCTCAGCATCTCGTCGTTTAGGCGGCATCGAGAATCGTCCCGAATCTGATACCAAAATGATTCATCAGAAGCTTATGGAAGATAGTTTTCTTCTTCAGAAAACCAGAGAAAACAGTTTCCTTCTTTTCTTCGTTCAATTCATAAAAATCATAAGTGCCATAATACACATACTCCATCTGTTTTTAATGCAGGAAGTCCTAACCACTGAAGCCCAAATATAACAAGCCCAATACACAACAAGCCCAATGCAACATAAATAATAATAATAAGAAACGAAATAACAATCAAACTAATGAAACGAGGCGATCATATTTGTCGAGATATGTTAATGTAATCTCCTCGGCATCATAAGGGCTTGATTATTTATGGAATAATTTGTTCAAAATGAGTTATTTTGGTTAATCATAGTTAATTTTGAAAAGGTTGTATGGTTAGTTGTTAGTGTAATTTAAGAATGTATTAAAATAATATTTAAGATAAAATGATTAAAATTGATTTGATGTAAAAGTGAGAGATAAATGATTGGAAATGATTGGTATGATAGGTAGTTAAAATTATGTGACTGGATGAATAGTGAATTAAAGTTGATGTGATGTGTAAGAATGATTGGTTTGTATTATTTAATTATATGAATAATATAAAAGATAGTGAGATTGAGTTAAAGTTGAAAAAAAAAAAGTGAGTAAATTATTCCATATACAATAGGTTTTATAAGACATACCAAGGAAGAAAAATATGAATGTTAAAAGAAACATAAATCAAGGGGTCAGAATCTCGCTTGGAATTCAATAACGCATGTCCACATGGACACTGTGCGCAGGCTGGTTAGTATAGAATTGACGGGCAAGGGATAACCGAGTTACCCGACTCGGGTCGATCTCGAATGAAGGCTATTCGGAGCTTTATCTATTAAATGATCGTCCAAATCACAAAAAGGAAAATAAAATCCTAAACATTTTAAGCAATTGATTGGATGGTTGATTAACACTAATCGAGCACCTAAAAACGAGCAATTAATTAAAAGCAAGATTAAATGACGAGCAATTAGCAAACTAGATCACCGGAGTCTCATGCCATAACCATAACGGGATGATAATCAATCGACATACGGAATAAACGAGCTACGAGCATCAGAATGCTAACCCTAGTCGTCTAATCGAGATCAACGAGCAATTAACGACTCTATCTACTAAAGCAAGCAATCAAATTCAAGCATTTCCTCCATCATCAATCAAATCTAAATTTACCCT